GTGAGTGAACGGCTTCCTTACTCCTTTCGGGATGATAATTTCCATCTCTTAATGACACCCAGGCTGTGCAAAGCATGAACGTTACGAGGCTGTTACAAATATAGGATGTGTCTTGCAGGAAATGTAGCTGGTGGTAGCTAGACCTCAAAATAGCTATTGGTATGGGCACCCAGAAGCTCTGGTGCCTGTCCAAGCCTCTTGGGTCTTGAACATGTCTTGATGTCTCATGAGATCAAGCTCTCTCGCATGATGCTCATGACTTCCTGTTTTCCCTTTGGCCAGAAATGGATTAACAACAGCATTTCCTACTCTGCTCCAGCCAGAAAAAGGAGTTAAGAAGTATTTGGTGATGAAAAATAATTTTCAGACTATCTATCCAAACTTCATGAACTTCCCCAAAGGTTCAGTTGAAGTTTTAGGCACCGGTTCAAGTAGCTGTTGTTGGGTCCAAATAACTTTATCCAACCTTATTCACAACCTGGCTCTAAAAATTCTTTCAGACCTGAAACTTGGGTTATAAACTCACAAGCCTGGGAATGATTTATTTGTGCCAATTCTTTTAAATACATTTGATTTTAATTTACAAGAGCACAAGAGAAGTCGGAACTTTGTGGTTTCCAGTGGTTTTAATATGAAAATTCCTACTTCGGGATGAAGTATTGCTGGCTTTTTATCTAAAATGTGTATTACAGTTTTTCTGGCATTTAACAATGAATTTAACTGAGGTGCTGGGAGGAAAAGGGGAGAAATGGCGATTTATTTTACCGTACTTTTGGATGAGGATTCTAGGTAATAAATTTGATCTGATGAATCAATCTCTCTTTTGAAAACAAAGAGCCTTTAACTGTTTACTCGACAGACTGCAGGGATTCGGGGAGAGTTCTTGCTGCTTATTGGGTAGATAATGCAGATTGCAGATGATGTGCAGATGATGTGCATTTTGATGAATATTTTCCCACTAGACTGCAACTGTTTCTATCTATTAATTTAGATCTAATGGGAAAAGTGTGTTCCTGGGTAGTTTTAAGCTAGGACTTTTTAAACAGTTGACGCGCTGAGGGTATGTTTTTCTGTCTGCCGAAGGTCTATCATGGAAATGAACTTTTAAGGGAAGGTGGCATCAGAGATGCCCATCTTCCATCTGTCTCCAAAGAAATCCCAAACTGAGCAGAACCAGTGCTCGCGTTCACACCTGGGGGCCTCGCTCCTGACTGGCAGGGGAGAGAATATTTACATTTTCTGGATCTTTCTGGTTGGGTCACTACCAGAGTTACCAAATTTTGGTTTTGGTGTTGGTGACGTATCTGGAAAGCAGGTGTTGTCTCGTTGTCTTCTGCAAAGGTGGTCACCACAGGTGGGGCTACAGCCTTCAAAGTGCTGGTGTGAGCCCAGCCCCTGCAGGGCTTCAGCAGAGTGTCCTGACAAGGATGAGCTCAGATAAGTGTTCAGCGAAATAAAAAATGAATGAATTAGAAGCCTCAGACGTGAGTTCCAGCTCTTTTAGTGGTTGCAAGCTGGTGCGGTTCCATCGCACACGGGGAAGCGCCGCAGATTTGAACCAGATGACGGTCTGGCTCTTGCTGCACAGCCCTGGAATTTGGAATCGCTTTACAGCCATGTCTTAAACTGATTTCTTAGGTGCGCGTTTTGCAAATTTGGCAAATTTTTGCTGTTATGAACTTCTTTCTAATGTGTAAACGCAAATATGTATGAAACTGTAAGGAAAAGCCATTTGTTTCTTCTTTCCTGGGGTTGTCTTTTGTCTTCATTGCTAAGTGAAGATGTTCAAAAGAACCGTGAGAATGTCAGGAGCTTCCCCCGCTGGAATTAAATTGTAATAAAGTTGCATTGCTAACAGCGCTTTAAGGGGAATATGTATTCAAAACACCTTTTGAGGGAGACAAAAGCCTGTGTACCCCAGCAATAAGAAAATAAAAAAGATAAAGCCAGCGCCTGCCTGACGGGGAAACTTCTGCCTGCTCCTCTTTATCCAGGAGCGATAGGGCGACTGAGATAGTCTTTGGAAATTAGAGCTGCCGTTGAGAGCGAAGCCAAGGCTCACTGTATTTCAGAAAACGAAAATGATGTAGCCCTGGAGGAGGGAGGGGCTGGATCCCCAGGGCATCTGTTTCCCATCAGTGTCCCACCATGCTTGCAGTCTGGCTTGGCACTCTAACATTTAACCTTCCCGGCAGGAGGTAGACCATAGGGCAACAAGGCTGCAGAATAATGAAACAAGAGTGTAGTGTGGTGCACAAAGCCTTTGTGAGCCGAGAAGTTGAAGACATTAAATGATCAGGGTGCGGAGATATGAAAGTTCCAGATTTTTCTGAAAAGCCCCCATTAGTCTCACGCCGGAGGAGGAGCGCGCCGTCTCTCAGCAGGCGGAGGCAGGGCCTTTCCCCATCCATCCCTGCCTTTTTGCCCGCTGCTTTCAACTATTATAAAGATACAATTACCTTGGGAGACTGTGGCAGTTCAGTTGATTAGCACGGTGAATTAAAAGAATGAGTCACAAATGACATGTCCAGCTCTTCTCTACTAGTCCTTTGTATTCCCAGTGTACCTCACCCCTGTTGTAAGAAGGTCAAAAATTAGAGAGAGATAACAATTTTCAAGCAGCTAGCACTTAGGAGCAGAATTAACAATCATTCTGTATGTAATTGCCAGTTAATAGTAAATTGCCTTCTAGACTGTAAAATGCAATATAAACTGGTGGGCACCTAAAATTAAATTAATGAGGTATTTGCTGCATTTAAAAGTGAATAGTGCAAATTAATAACTGGGTACAATACTTGTTTTAATATATATCGAACAGTGCATTGTTTACTTGTTTAATAATAGTTTTAAAAGCACTACCTGAAAAATTCTCTGTCTCTCTGAGAAAATCGAGTGGTTTCTGCAGGTTGTAGCTATAATTTTGCTGCTAAAGTCTTCCAGGTTTCCAAATTAAATATCAGAGATTATTTTTTAATTAGAATATAAGCACTGCAGTGTTATTTGATTATGGCAAATTGTGATTTGTATGCTTCTAAATGAAATTATGTTACAGATAAAATTGCACCTTTATACACATATTTTAAGCTCTGTAGCTTCTGTGGGTTTACTTTGAGAGGAGCAGCAGTACCGTATTTACAGTGTATTTGTGCCGCTGCGTTACTGTTTTCTCTAAGTGTGTATTTTGCATAATGATTTCCTAGCAAATCAAGGCAGCCTCGTCCCACCCAGAGTACATCCAAGTAGTTTCAAAGAGCACTCTTTGGCACTTGTAGGGCGGCCGGCTTTCACCCGCATGTTCCTGCCACACACCCTGGTTTTGGTAACTTCTTTGGCCAAATTAAAGAAATGACCCAGTTGTGGGGGGCCGGCGGGTGGTCCCCAGCAGCCCGTGCCCGTAGAAGGTGTTGGCACTCGGTGGCCAACGTGTCCAAAGCAGAGGTGGAGGATGCGCGACCGTTGAACACGTGGATCCGTTCCCGGGCCTACCGGGCCTCTGCTGGTGCCAACATCAAAATGATGATTTTTTGCACAAAGACTCACATTCAGTTTTAAGTGCCTGAAACCCAGCGTCACTCGGCCAGCAGTCGCTCAGGGTTTGTGTTCCTTCTGGTGGAGTATTTCTGCTGAAGGAGCGTGGCCGGGCTGTGGGGCTGGCACAGCCCCAAGGGGGGGAAACCCTCTTTCCTCACCACATTGTCCGGATTTTTGGGTTTGGCTGGGTTTTTGCCTCGGCAGGGAGACCTCCGCCTTGGCTGGCTTCCCTCGGTCAGCCCCCGCTCCACTTCCCCCTCTGAAAGATCTCGTGTTCCTCAAGTATTTTCGAGATCTTTTGTGTGCATTCAAATGTGATTCTGTCAATGGCGCTGTTACACTGTTTAGAGTCAATAGCTCCCTTCCATCACAGCCAACACAAACTAGCTGTCTCATAGGTCAGTGCTCTTTAAACAAATTACTTGTATCCACAGAGCAAATGATTGTTAATTGCCTCCCACAAATCATACTATTTTTACTATGCTAAACTACATGCTAATGCCTTAGTTAAATTTAAATCACCTGATTATTTCTTGTACATATTCAATTATTGTTCTTAAGTATGAAATCTGGTGACTTTGCAAAACGAATGCTAAAAATAAATACAATGGATACAGGCCTTTATTGGAAATCCTTCAAAAAAAAAAAAGTACAGTTACATTCATTTTAATGAAATCCTCAGCATTTCTAATTCATATATATTGCATTTCTTTTTTTTTTTTTTTAAAGTGCTGTTGTCCTGAAGCAACTTACAGTCACTGTTATTACAGTATTGGTTATTTATTGATCAGACCTCGTGTCAGTATCGGTTGTTAGCAAGCTGGAAAAAATCAAGATAGAACAAATATTCTTGCCCTTTCTTCAGGATGGGCCTTTCTAAGCCAAAGTTAGCATTAAAGAGTCAAAACCAGAAAGCATCTCTGTTAATTGGTTTAACCGCTTTGTTGCTCTAGAGTAAAATATATTTTTCTTAAAAAGGTAACATCAAAGAGAAGAGATCCGAGTTAACTGGTTAACTGTCTGTTCCTGTAAAGAAGGTTTTTGAGAATGACATACATTTTTAATTAATAGGGCGATGCTAAACATACAGAAATGATTTAGTAGCATCAAGTCAATAGCATGTTGGATAATGTATATTATATAATAGCTCTTTTTTAAACAGTAGCAATTCCAGGTTTATCAGGGTCATTGTTGTCCCCTTTCTTTTCTGTCTCAAAGGAGGCCAGAAGAATGAGACATACCATTTGTGCTATTGCACAAGTAGACTATTTGTCCTAATCAGTGACACCCATTTACTAGAATTGCTTAAAATGAACTATACCTCATACAGAAATCGCACATTTAGAGTGTTCCATTCATCATCTGAAAATTGAGGGCCAGTAAACTTTTCTGTTCCTCCAGCGGGATCATAGACATGCATCAAAATGTTAAAAAATGATTGGTGAGAGAGAACTGTCACCCATTTATCA